CCCCCCCCCCCCCCCCCCCCCCCCCCCCCCCCGGTGCATGGCTAAATGTAATTTCAGGCTGCACAGCCCAATACCATAAATTTGCCTTGTTTGTTACTGGATTGCAACATTCCATCATCAGCGGGTCGCGTGGCACAATCTTACATTACATAATGGCACTGATTTATGTCTTGCAGCTTTGAGTGCGTGTGCAAGGCTGCAGAGCGCAAAACAAAGTCTGTAAGCATCCTCTGAAAGAGAGTTGGCCCACAAAAAGTGGTCTTTACTGACTTCAATAACTCATTATTACCACGGGACAGAGGCTGTACGTGTACTGGAACACAGGTTTTGAGCACTCTTTTATTTGTTTTGAGCTAAAGCAAATAAAATAACTACAACAACCATTTTATCAACCAAAAGCACACAGACATAAAGTTCAAAAAGAAGGCAAACTAGGAGTGACACTCGATAAGTTTAAACATTGAGGAACTTTCTCAGGCTGTGCATCTAACCCACATATTTCTGGCAAATTGTAAAATGTAATACAGACTGTGAAAGTCTTTTTAGTCTTGAAATCTGCTTGTGCCTGCTGATACACGATCCTGTGTACTGTACGGCTCATTAAGTATGTAAAGCTACAAAATAATATCTACATCTTGTTGAGTATTACAGCCAGAGTCATCGGCAGACTGAACCCGCTGATCTGCAAGGCTCACATATTCCATTAGGTGGTTTTATAATCCAAATTGTGAACTGCAGTAATTTTGGACGCTGTTGTGGAAATGTATTAAATGAATGATTCTGTTGTTGAGTGTTAATGTGAGTTCATTGCTTATATCACGCATAACGATGTTTGTGACTCCTCGGTTCCACATGACACTGTGCAGGGGATGAACTGCACTCACATTTACATATACATATATACATATATATATATATATATATATATATATATATATATAGCTAGAATATTAACCAATAGCAATGTCCTATTAAAGGACAAAAGTGGCTGGTAATGACATATAACTTACATACTCGCCGGGGCACCAATACAGCACAGCGACACACAAACACAGAGAGTCTTGTTGACATTATTTTTAACCTGGTCAAGCTAAGCGCTAATAAAAGCTAAGAGCTAATAAAAGGCTGAAGCACAATTTGTTCATTCAAAGCTGACAACACATCAGCAATACTGAAGAAACTACTGCAGGAAAATGTCGGACAACAATCACGTGTACATATTTTGCTCCAAAAGAGCATACGGGGGCGGGGTTTGGCAGCCAACACTAAATCTCTGTTCCACACCTAATATTTACACTTCACTTGCACTGACACAAACATATTCATGTGTACATGCTTGCCATGAAGCAGCAACAGGTGTTACTAATGACCTATCAAAGTGTCCCAGTCAGCCACGACCGTGTGACAGTGAGCCAGCATCCACAGAGTCACAACCCTGAAACCAAAGCAGCTAAAATGTAAATCACCAACCATCATTATTTTGTATCGCTTACTCCTGAGCCTTTGATAATGTGCCATGTCAAAACATCTCCCAGAAAGGACCTGTGTGGTGCCTGGAGCATCTTAGAGCTTGTGTAGGTATGCCCATTCAATGCACCTGCAATACCAGTTTAACACATTAGTGTTACTCACTATACTGTAGATGTGACAAAAAAAAGTGCAATCTCAAAATGGTTTGTTTACACTTTAGAAAAGGTCCCATAAGAGAAAATAATTTTTAAAAAGTACATTTAACATTTTACCTTCAAGCATTCTATCTAATTGGTTAACAAGCCTTAAAGGTGCAGATGGATTACATATACGAAGAGTTACTGTGTTGAACATCTGTACAGTGGACATTCATATTAAATTGGTGTCATTATATCAGAACTTGCAGCATATAGTTCACACATGTTATATATATATATATATTCATGTTTCATATACCTTATCAGGGTTCACGCATCATTCGAGGCCATTTACCTCTGAATCACTGATTATTACGCACGTGTTTCGCATTAACTGTGATTGTCCACTGCAGGCCATAGGTGAAATGGACAATACATTGTGTGTACATTGTGTGTTTTTTTTAGCAAACTGCAATGACCAGATATGTCCCTGACTGGGATACCGGCCCAAAACTACAGCTGCATAGTTAAAAAAGGACTACTAATGCAAACTGGCTGTCCTCTCCTGTACAAGTGTCCTCCACTAGGGCCCCAGCTGCCATGGCGGGGCCGGGGAACAGATTGACTTGTCAACAGTGTCCTGTCAACAACCTCTCGGTCATAACCTAACCTGGAGGAGACTATAACCCCATCTCAGTAAAACATACAGCTGATGGATATGGCACGGAGGGCGTCTGTAGCAAAACTGCCCTCAAGTGAAGGGAACATGTATCCATTCGACATGCACGAAACAATATAAAACTGCTGCCCCGGCTGCTTCAAATCCCAAATTCCCAGACCAAAAGAAAAACAACCCGTTCAGTCGATGGAAATGAAAAGTCGGATAACTTCTTTTTTTTTTTTTAAATAGAAGTTGCTCCACTAAGTTTTAGCTTAGGCAACTCGTCGATGAAAAAAAAGCAACAACATCCAAACAGTGTAGCTTTAGCCGACCATACAGAGCTCACTTCAAAAGATTTCACATCGCCCCCCCTTCCTTCCTCCCTCTAACCCACCCGCGTACTGAAGCGTGTCGGAGCCGTGACAACAGTAGTTTCCGTGTGCTTTCAAAAAACTTACCAACTGTTCTTGAGCCTGACCCAGAACCAAGCAGAAGGTACCAGATCCACATCCTACGGGCTCCTTTTCCCCCCCGCTCTGCCCTTGCTGTCCCGCCCCGCCGCGGGGCCGAAAACTGGGGGCAAAGAAGGAAAAAAAAACAAAAAACTTATCCGACACAGCTCCGCTACTGCCTATCGTAGCCTACTTCTCAAGTTCAACTTTTTATTTTTTCTTCCGGCAAAACTAGGAGAACATTACGCGTGAGAGTGGTGGGTTCGCGTCGGGACATAAGTAGTCCGGTTCGGGGAGTGGGAGGGCGCACAGGCTGGAGCTGGAAGGGGCTTGTGGGTGGGGGGGGGAGGCAGGCAGGCAGGCTGGGGAGACGGTCGCTCGTGTGTTGGTGCTGCGAGAGGCGGAGTCGGAGGCAGAGAGCCGGAGAGCAGAGGTCGCCCAGTCCGGGACAGTGGTTCTCAAATTGCGGGCGAGGGACCGCTAACGGTCCCCACTGGCAAAACCAGGAGTTGTTTGATTGCACCGTTACTGCAAAGTTCTGTTATCTCATCTGCAGATATTCAGCAGAGACGGCACACACATGGGCGAAACATGGGATAAATGAAAATGGGTGACAGATAGCGAGGACAGCACCTCCATCTACAAAATGAGGGTCAAAGCTTACTGATATGGTTTCCTTGATATGAAATTAAGATATGAGCAGCTCTGGGCAAGGACTCATTTAGTCCTGAATTACTGATAGAACCTTGCATGGGGTTATTGTTTCTAAAACTAAAAGACTAATACAAAGAGTGAAAGATAACCACAAAGAGGCAGCATTAAAATATTAATATTAGATTGATTTTAAATCCCATTGTGAGGATGCTTATAATGAAAACCACCCCCCTCAATTGCTAGACCTATAAATAATGAAGTAGGCTAGGCCTACAAAGGATCTCTGTAACACAAACTTGCTTAAGAAATATTATGCAAACCTATCTGATTATGGGACACTACATACATATTACATGGTCTTACATTACGCTGTACCTTGTAGCAGTGTATCACATGTGATCGATGTGTCTGTTATTCTGTCATGAGGGACTTTGTGTCTCGAGCACACAAACATATGAAATGATAAATCAATACAATTCCAAAGGAGGAGTCACAGCCATGGTGCCCGGACATTGTTGCTCTCAGTTAAGCCTCCAGAGATTTCCTGTAGATCCTCCTCAGTCATCACCTGCAATCCAGAGTTTCCCTCTTTGGTTCCTTTTAAGCAACCGTTTTATTATTCATCCAACAATTGGAGATTGATGACAGATGCTGTGTGTTTACGTCATAGGAGCTACTTTCAGCTGCAACATTCTAAAGTCCTTCACCTACAAATATTGGATACAATTGAACACAAAATAGTGGGCCAGGATAATGTTAGCCATGTTAGCTTCACTTACAAGTCAACTGAAGCAGGCTGTGAAATAAGCTGTATCCCACAACATGGAAAAAGTCTTTGGGGCAGCCAAACAGTCAACTATAACAACAAATGGTGCCATCTAACAGTTAAGAAAGGTTAAAGGCAACAGCTTACCATCATTTTTCATTTGAAGACTCCTCTTGATAAATAATGCTGAGACAAAGTAACAATTGGAAAACACTGAAAATTCAATACAAAGTAGTAGGGATTTTTGAAAGCCTGACTTGTAAATTGTCAGGCCATCTTTTTTTTTTTTTGGCTGAACTACAAACATAATTTGGTAATTGGATAGACATCCTGTTCACTTTATTACACCCAGGATGGAAGGATTAAAAGTGCCCCCTTCTCTCTGTGGTTCTATGTATGGGAGGTAAATCCATAACTTCTTATATTCCATCTTGACACGAGGGTGGGGTAAAACAGCGCTGTCATTTAACTTTTACATGTTCTCCACCACCATTCAATCCCCCTGCATTGTGGCTTGTACGGGAAAATATTTACATATTAGAGAAATATTTACAGTTCACCAGAACGTACCACGCCAAACAAAATGAGCAACCGGACCTATAATGCTGAGGTTTTTCTAATAGGAATGAAAATATTTTGAAACTTTGAAAAAAACTAGATATGGATGCAACAGATGGCACAGGGGGAAACTATTTAGAGCGTTCTTTTAACAGATGGTTGGCCTTGATGTAAGTTAAAAGACACAAATACTTGTAGAAAATCAAAGCATGAAGAGTGTTTGGTGGTGGCACAGAAAGAGAGAGATAGACGCACAGAAAGAGGCATCTTCTCTCCAGTTGCACTCCTATACAAACTCAGTAACTTCCACACAGTAAGGAATTAAATATTTAACAACCCAGATGGAGCACTGGCCAACCACTGATACATGCATACAGAAGAGCTGCGAGGCAGAAAGGACAGAAGAATGTATCGTCATGCTTTATATTGGTATTTTCACTCCAGTTTAAAGTTGAATTGAATTAGAGGGAGACAGGGAGAGGGGTGGAACGACAGGAGGCTTCACCTATCAAACCTCTCTCCTCTTTATCACAGAACTGCAGCTGTGTGCAGACAGACAACCTTGCTTCAAACAAACCGCCCTTTTGATAGCATGCTAACCTGGGGGCCTGCGATTGGGATGAGTCCCAATATCAGACTCCTCCAGCTCACTTTATATTCATTCACACACTGCCTTATCGAGCCAAAGCCTCGTGCAGACTCAAACTCCAGTGGAGGATATTGGCATGTCGCTGGAATCTGTAAAAACTTTGTCAAAGATTCCAGCTTGATAGCTGCTGCAAGGGCCTGTTGTCCTCATATACCTCTATTGTTGCCTGTGGGGCCTTATGTATTTCATTTTATTATGAGTGCCGATGTGAGACGCCTATGCATGTGCGCTGCGTAACTGCTCTTGAAGCGGCTACAGTAGGCAGATATGAATATCTCAATGAGCTAACGAAAGCAGACGCAAGCCTCCTCAGCACAAATCCTGTATACAATCAACACTAATAAAACTAAATGCTTGCTGAGGAGGAAGATGATTTGTCAGTCAATGTTAAATGGATTTCATTTTGCTCCCCTGGAGTTATCATTAATGCCAATGCTGAGCTGTTTCACAAATTATACAGCCTGATCCATGAACCACGGTATAATCTGTTTTGGGTGGGACGGGCTCCAAGCCAAAAGTGGAAATGGGCTCAACTATGTTCCTGATTGACGCAGTGTTTCAGTAATGCCCATCAATTAGTTTAGGCTATCTATAAACAGCTCAGACCTAATTAGCCGCTGGCCAACAAATGGACTCATTAGGGGACATTAAACTCTAATATGAAGGTTGTTATTGACTTAATCGCAGGAGAACCCAATTAGTGGCGAAATTTGGAAAATAACTCTGGGGTAGTGAGACAATCTGATTGGCGAAGAGTGGGGGGGGGGGGGGCGTCGCAACCTGGGATGACTTTGCCTGTGGGTGAGTGGCGGCATTGAGAGAAAGAGAGAGATTCATAGCGAGAGGTAAGGGAATGTGTAACGGGAGCAGCACAAACGGGAGTCTGTGTGAGTGTGTGCTTGTGTGGGTGCGGAGAGAGAAAACAACACTTACAGACTGGTAGGGAAGCAGAGTGAGTAAGGAAGCCAGCGGCAAAGAAAAAGTATCAGGGGATGGATGAGGAAAGAGAGAGATGAAGAAGGTGTGAGTATAAAGAGGTGAGAAAAAAATCAGGGGAGATATTGTAATCGAAAGAGATAGCAAACGAGAGGAGGAATGAATTTGAATAAAACCTTATTTTACGGAGCATTTAATGCAAGCTGTAGGGCATGTTTAATGTAAGTATACTGTAACTCTGCCAACAAGGGTTTCTGAGTTCACTGTCACCGAGAGCTCTGCTAATATATCACAAAATCTAATGCGAGTGCAAAATGTAGAGCAATAATACAACTCATGAGAGCTTCAGGATGACATGTCCTTGTTCATGTCAGACTGCCATCGAGGTAGCTGCGATATGCCAAGGCCCATAGAGGACTGGCTCATTCTCTGGTGCGAGTCTCTTGACATTCATCTTACATTTAATAACCAGCGTACCAACGTGAAGGACATCTCTGTTTGTGAGTGAGTGTGTGAGTCAGAAAGCAGTAGAGAGAGGAAAAACAGAGGGGAGGACACATCGAGGTTCTGCTGGTCCAGTAAGGAGTTGTCTTTAGTGGCGACTATACAGAGCAAAACACACCTCTCCCTACACGACATACACACACACACACACACACACACACACACACACACACACACAGGCTTATGTGACCAATCATATTGAACCACATGCACAAACACACATAGTTATCCGTTCTTGCAGAATTGCAGAATTTTGCCCACACTCATGCTCGCCCAGAGTCTCCTTCATGCTCCTTCAAAGGCATTAATTGAATAATCATTCAATTATGTGACCAACGCCTGGTTCCACTGACATTAGTTAGCAAAGCTGACGTTGAGCCTGGCAGCGCTGCGGGGACATCAGATAGGCATCAACAATTGAATCAGAGAGAGACAGAAAGGGTAATTTGTGTGTGTGTGTGTGTGTGTGTGTGTGTGTGTGTGTGTGTGTGTGTGTGTTTGTGCGACTGTCAATCTATAAGGCCCAGGCAGAGAATCAAACGAGGAACAGATATTGATTTGGGATTTCAGAGGCGGTGGCCGATAGCAATTTGAGGGAGAAGCGCCTGCAGCATCAACAATTACCTTCTTAATTAAGCTAGACACAATGATGTACAGATTGGGATGGGTTACACAGCAAATTGTAAAATACAAGGGTGATAATAAGTATGGTAAATATAGCATTAGCATAGCATTATTGCAGTGGAAGATGCCGGCATGTGACTATCAAAGAATAAGATCAACCCCTATTTCAGTAAATGTAAATAGCTATAGGTTAATGGCAAAATAGATTAAAACCCACAGAGTAAAGGTAATAATGGACACTTATTATACCACAGTGTGAGCAATAATAATTTAGCAATTAGATGTAATGATTTACATTTAACAGTAAAATATACACAGGAAACAAGACTATGCAGTCATTTAAGTGGATACCAGTCAGCAGTTTCTGGTGGATACAAATCCAAATGATCCCAAAGATAAAGCTGAAAGAGGCTGGATTCACTCTCTAACCGGCTCTCAAGGCAGCAGTAGTTCATTATCACGTCTGGTCTCCAAACAACAAGCAGTGGCATTTCTAAATAAACAAAAGTCTCCAACAAGGTCATGTCCAGCTGAGCAATGGGCAATCTATTCTCACTTACACATAATTAGCAGACAACTGCGAGCACTCATCTAGGTTTCATTCCTC